GATTTTTTTGCTTTTGTTTATTTTAGTTAAGCTCAAGTCAGTTAATGGCATTACATATAAGATTATGCATATTGTTGTTGTTAGTACTGAGTTTTTATTATTATTAGGTTCTTCATTATATATTTTATAAACATATATGTTTAGTTTGTTGTTTTGGTCTTCTCTTCTTTTGGTAAAACTTTCTATGTTTTCTAGTGAGACTTGTTTATTCTAACTAAGTATGCTGTTGTCATTAATGTCTTGTTATACAGAAGTTGCTGAAGCAGTTGAATAACTGCTTGCTGTTGTAGTATTCTCTTTAGAATAAGAATCTTTTTTGTTGTATACAGTAAGTTTTTTTATATTGGTGTAATTAGTTAACTTAATTCTTTTGTATTTGCAAGCTTCAATAGTAAAAGTATTAAGTTTCTTAGAAATAAGAAAAGGTACCTCTGTTCTAATACTGTTTTTTTTAAAAAAAAAACTTTTAGATAAATTAATTTTGTTTTTTTCTAAATTATTTTCAATTCTAAATATAGGTGGTCAGATGAGAGTGATCATTAATCTTTTTAATCTACAATTATATTGTTACAAAATAGATTATTAGCATAGCATAGTATATTATATTATTAGTAGTTATTATATATTCATTATTGTATTTTATATTATATTTATTATTAGTTATTAGCATAGTTATATTATAGTTAGTGTTGGCAGCAATAGATGAATAGAACAATAGAACAATAGGATAGAGCAATAGTATTTAGAATAGAATAAAATTTTTGTCAATAGAACAAAAAATTGCCAACAAGATTATAATTAGATATTAATATAGCAATAAATAAATAGAACAATAGAATAATAGAATAGAGCAATAGAAATTAGAATAGAATATAATTTTTATCAATAAAACAAGAAATTGACAATACTGATTATAGTATATAGTAGTTAGATAATAGGATTTTAATTGGCTGTTAGAAATGTGATACAGGCATATAACATTGAGTAACATCTATGATGTTACTATTATCTTACAAACTCCAAGTATTTTTACACAAGGTTTCATGTATCCTAGTACAAGTTTATTGAACTACAATACTAATAAGTAATTAATAAAAGTCAAAAGATCAAAGAGATTACTTTAAAAAAAAAAATTTGTTATAAGTTTGAAATATAAAATATACAAGAATTTGTTATATTATCTAATTTAAAAATTTAATTAGTTATTTTTAATAAACATTTTATAAAATGAAATAGAAATATAAACATTCTTGCTATGCTTTAGATAATAATATAATAATAAATATATAATAACTATTAATAATATAATAATAAATATATAATAACTATTAATAATATAATATAATAAACTATGCTATATTAATAATCTGCTTTGTAACAAAATTTAGAATAAAAATATTTTTAATTTATATTAATAATTATAAATAACTACTATACTATATTTTAAAAACTGCATTATGAAACAGTAGTTAAATATACTAAAAAAATGATTAATGCTTTTAAAAACTTTATAAAAACTAAGATCAGAATCTGATACCTAATTTATATTATATTATTTTAAAAAAATATTTTATATAAAACTTTTTATTTATTTTAAAACTGCAAGTTTTAATATATAAAAGTAGTTATTTCTAATCATTAATACAAATTATAATAATTTTTAAAATAAAATTTAATTATTTTATTTTTAATAATTATTGTTTTATTATTTATTTTTTATATATAGTTTTTTTTTTCTTAATAATACAGAAATATTTTTTAGTTTAGTTTTTAAGTTTGCTTATTTTATATTTTGTTATTTTTAAAAATAAAGATTAGTAGAAAAAGTTTTTTTATATATTTATTTATACTTTAAATTAAAATAATTAATTTTTATATATTATAATTGTATAATAATTATATATTAAAGATTAATTAGAATATAAATATTATATATTATATATTATATATATAATATTTTATTATTATACTGTATTTATTTTATATTATATAACAACTATATATTTATACATAATATAAATCAAATTAATATATATATTTAGTAATTTATTAAATTTAAATTAAATTATATAGATAAATACAATAAACTTAAAGTTTAATTTAAAATCAAATTAGTTATACAATACAATATATACAGTATATTTTTTTATATAGTATATAATTATTAAATAATAAATATGCAGTATATTTTGTAAAAAGCAAAGAATTTACATACATTTTTGTTTAAATAACAAATATAAGCAATTTTAATTAACGTCTTTTTACTATTTATAGGCAGAAACCAAGCTAGTATTAGATATATAATTCTGCATGATGAAAATTAAATAGACAAAAATCTATTTATTTAAATAAAAGACAGAATGCTACGTAGCTCGTTTTTTCCAAAACAATTAGCAAATAAGTCAAAATAAGATAATGACGCCAACTAATTAAAAAAAAAAAAATTCCACCAAAAAAAGACAAGATAACATTTGACAGCGTCTGAATTTTCTTAAAAAAAATATGGAGATAATAGTTCAGCCTTTCTAAACACAATAAATAGAACCTATGACCTATGTTTTCTAAGGTGTAATAATGGAAAGATTACACATAAAGAGGGATACGTAATAAGACAAAATTTTGTGCGTTTATTTTAATACAAGAAAGTATACATTACAGATTATAAAATAGGGATTAGAATTTATAAAACAAGAATACATGTATCTTGATAAGGGGAAACGGATGTAATGCAGAAATTTAATACGTAAATTAATATAACTAATAACGATGTCGTTATCGATAATTTATATAAAAAAAATTACACTCATAACACTTGATATCAAATAAGGTTTTCAATTAAAGTTTTAGTGTAACTTATAATAAAGTAAAAATCGGTTGACGTCTAAGAATGCAATTAACACTGGATAATTTTAAAATATTTACCATGACGATAATGACGATAATGACGATAAAGACAATAAAAACAATGCTAGTAAATATAGTTAATAGGTGAGTAGGTAGGAAGATAGGCAGGTACGTACTTACTTATATAGCTACTTACATATATATACCCACTCATATGTCTACTTGTTACCTACTTATATACCTATTTACATACATTGAGAGTTCAAACCTAGAGGAACAAATATACATGAGTCATTTAAGTTTGCTTGACGGAATGACAGGTAATAACTTGATAAACATAGCACAAGCCTTCACCTAACTGGTGCAAATTTTACATTCCTTGTTTGTTTCCTTATATCAACATCACTATAAACCCAATTAAGACCGGATCTACCCAGAGTTATTTATAGATTTCCATTTCAATATCAGAATCTCTGTTACATGATGTTGGTCAGCCCTTAAAATAGAGAACACCATTGGTTGAATAATAATGACAACATAAAAAAAAAGGATATTACTGACCATAAAAAAGGTTATACACATGCAGCCTAAATGTCAAACCGATATCTTGTGGCGAAGACTTTGTATTGTCACGACCATTAAAAATAAACGGTCAAAAAATGAAAGATGTCACTACATGCATAACGCAGAAATTTTATACAGTCAAATCGTTGTCGCCGATGACAAAGGATTATGTCATTTCATTGATTCAAAAAAAAAAAAAATTTTTTTTTTTTCGGAAACAAGGAAAAAAAAAAATTAAAGTGTGGCCATGTGGCGATTTTCATTACAAATCTTGGGCTCGGTTATGGCGGGTTTATGTTGTGAGTCAAGTCGGCTAATAAATACAAACAAATTCGGATTTATTAAAAATATGATTACAGGCTCGGGTGATGCAATGGGTGATGCAATGGGTGATGCAATGGGCTTAAAATTAACTAGTCTTATTGCGTAACTATAATGTCGGTCACGTGTTTTGATTTATTACGTTTATGGAATTTGTTTATGTGGTTCTATAATTTCTATAATTTCTATCGGCTATTCTAACATACATATCGCCGACAGCTGGATCTGCATTATTACAACTTAACGTTAACATTAACTATCAAGCCTCTGCATATAGATAGCATTTACTGCATTAATTAATGGATTGGCAATTTACCGCATAACATCATTAACTATTTTGTTATCCTTAGAAGACATTGAGAGACTTTTCGAGATGTACGAACATTAATTTGTGGGGTAATTTAGGGCAACGTTTTGGGGGGTAAAATATGTCAACTGGCCAGCAAGGATAAAGAACTCCCACATCAAAGGGATCTAGTCAAAGGTAACAAGAGCGCAAACCGGTCGTGACACAGGTACAACTGTTCAGAGAACAACGAATTACATTAAAAAAATTTTTTTTTTCCTTATCATACTATTTTCACAAGATTCCGTATTTTTATATTCTTAAGAACTTCGATGAACTGTGGCTTTTGTGGCAATGTATATAATTAATATAAATATATTTATTTTTATATTTATATATATATATACGTATATATTTATTTATTTAAAATATGTTATTAAAACTTCTAAAATAAACTTGAAAGTTTTCTGGATTTTTTAATGTAATAACTAGCGTGTGCATATATCATAGTAGTACATGTGAAAGACCTTTCCGAGCTGAAATATATTAGATCGCTTATCTGAAACTTTACAGAGGCTGTGAGACACCGAACCGCGGAGAAACGTGGCACGAGAAATCAGGTTTTATTTTACACTAGATAAGCATATACTGTATTTACTTATACGTATATATTTTTAAAGTTAAAAATAATTGTTTAAATAAGTTGTTTATAACTCAAATTTATATATTAGTTAGTTTTCTCCTTTTTCTTCCCCAACTGTTGCGTTTTTTTCTGACCTTTCATAGACCTATTTTATTATTCTGTATATATATTTTTACCTATTTACGATATATATATATAGAAATATATTACTAAAAATCCGCTGTTTTTGTCCTCAACTGTCATTCTTTGAAAAGGTTTTTTCCTGTTTTCCTACCGACCTGGTTTCTTTTTTATCTTTTTGACAGCTTGAATATTTTTTTTACCAGTTTTCGCTAAAGTTAAATGTCAGAGTATTCTGCTAAGCATCCGCAGCAGATATTCAGTGAAAGTAGACAACTCTTAGTAACAGCTCCTACTTCTCCCCGTAAAGAAAATATCAATAAAAGCAGTGAGAATAATAGTAACAGTAGCGCTTCGATGTCTTCAAATAACGTGGCGACCGGTTGTGATCAAGAGAACTTTATTCCACAACTACCACAACCTCAATACAAAACTTCAAAGGGTGGTAACCCCGTTCCAAGTTTTGAGTATCTATCATATGATAGAGTCCAGGACCTATATGAACAAAATAAAGGCACTTTATATTTCATCCCAGAAGGGTTCGAACCTGTTTTAGTTCCTAATGATGCCAAAGCTACTTCTGTAACGAATTTATTGGAAAATGCCAAACCAGTATCTGCTGCTCCTAACGTCCCAAGAATGCTCCCTGATACTGACGTTCGACTACCTTCATTCGCTCTTCCATGTGGTGTCGCTGGTCCTACTCCAAAAGCTACTTCTACTAATTCTAAAACTAAAATTAAAAAGCCTCCAAGACCTCCAAATGCTTTTATCCTTTATAGAAGAGCTAAGCAACCTGGGATCGTTGCCAAAAATCAAGGAATTACTAATAATGAAGTCTCAAAAGAAATTGGTAGAATGTGGCATGAAGAACCTCAAGAAGTTCGTTCCAAATTTCAAAAGATGGCTGATGCAGCTAAACAGGAACATATGAAAAAATATCCTGAATATAGGTATCGTCCACGAAGACCCCAAGAAAGGAAGCGCAGAATTCAACCTCGTGAAGACTCCCCATCAGCTCAAGGGTCTACACCAACCTTACCTTCTCAAAATTTGTCTATGATTGATGCCTCAGCATTTTTCCCGAGGCGTGTTTCATCAATATCTACTGATGGTGAAAATTCAGAGATATTCACTCCAACCACCATGTTGAACCATAACATTAACATCATTCAACATCCTCAACATCAACAATTGTTGTATACAGATAGTCCGTTGAGTGGTTCTCCTCAACAATATTTGGATTCTTCAATGGCAAAATATGATTATTCATATATTGATGATTCTAATTCATTTGACGGCAGTCCAGTATCAACTGCAGCAACAACATTTGTAAATACTCATAATCCCATGACAACATCTGGTGGCATGATTGATTTTAGTGTATTTGATGCTTCAAATCCTCCCGCGCCGGGAGAAGCCATGAACTACCTTGATATGGGTGAATATATTGAAGCTTTTGATCAATATGATAACATGGCTTCACTTAACTTTATCTCGGCGGCTGATGAACAGTTTATTCGCAATCAACAATTCGTGAAACTCGATTATTAATTAATGTATTATAAATGATGATGGAAAGATTTGCATCGGCAGATCTACTAATTTCGTTAATTTCGTTTTTTTTAAAAAAATTCGATTTTGGTAATTCGTAACAAACACAAACATAAACAAAAAAAATTTCGAACAAATCACAATCACAAAAATTTAAACAAACCTTACACTCATTTGCATTTATTTTTGAATTTAACCCTATGCTTATAACATCTTTACAAAATTAAGGTAACTTTGAACTCTTTTTAAATCTATAAATTCATAAATCTATTTCTAGTTGTCGTTTTTCTTTTTTTTTTTTTTTTAAAAAAAAAAAGAAAGAAAAACCGATTGGTGAGTTATGTAATAATATTCTAATATTTATTTTCTTTTTTTCTAGGTTTACATTTTACATTCAACATTTGTAGAAATTCATATGCCACATTTGCATTCATACATGCATATATTTACATATGACACATTTACATTTTTATGGAAGAAGAAGCAAAATGAAGATGTGAATAATAAGATCATTATTATTATAACAAAAAAAATATATTAATCGAAAAAAAATCAAAAAAAAAATCAAAAAAATTTGGAAAAAACACAAAAATATATCTGTTTTTTTTTAACCTATCTCTCTCATGGTCTATCAGAGAGAGAATTTTATTATTAGAGGTTTTTTTTTTAAATTGCGCAAGTCCTTTACTGTGCAATACCATAACCTTATTCTATGTTCAGCAGAAAAAATGAATCTAGGCAACAAAAAATACCTATGGTATTTGTTTGTCCTTCGAAAACACAGTTTGCCATACTTTTCTAGGTTATGTTTCATTTCATTGATTTTTGCTTCTTCTATTGTTTTATTTAAAATAATCTAGTACATTTTATCTTCCCCCTTGGTTTAATAAAGTGTTCTAGGTTTCTATGCTAAGGAATACAATAATAATTATTATTTGTAGTAGTTTATATATAAATTTTAATCTAATAATTATCGTATAATATCGATGTATACTAAAATCAAAAAAAATCAAAAAAAATTTAATTCATGTTTAATTTCGCATTTTAAAATTCGGCAAGTTTCGAATTTTATTTTTTATTTTATTTTTTTTTTAATTTTTTATTCAATTCAAATAGGCATTTTCAGTCAATGTAAATCTACAAGCACAAACATCTTTTTTATCTGTCCTTTTCAATTTATATATTTTTGCATATTTACCCCATTTTTTATTTCCAACAAAATCAATGTAAAAAAAAATCATCATTATCATTACTGCATTTTTTTTTATTTTGCATTTTATATAATCAGACCGGTAAAAAAAAAACAAAAAAAACAAAAAAAAAAAAGAAGTCTAAAAAAAAAAATAAGAAAAAGAAAAAATCAAATTTCAAATCAGAATTGTTATAAAAATAATAGTTGAGCTCTTTGAAATTCATTAAAGTATTTTTTTTCTCGCTTTTTTTTTCAAATAATGCGGGTTTATGCGAATTTAATTAGTATATGTATATATTAATACAAATAGTTGTTGCCTTTTGTCATGGTGTGAATGATAAAAGGGGTTAACGGAATATTCTGGCCCCTTTATCGCATAGATCGGGTTTTTAAGTTTGTACCCCGACCAAAGGTTTTTTTAACAGTGACCGAATTTGAAGATTTTTGGCGTTTTTTATTCCCTTAATTTCTTGTGCCATTTTAAGGTTACAACATTAAAGGTCTGTGAAAAGCACTTGATAATTAACGTTATCGTTAATAGATTATTTTAGAAAAGAAAAAAAAAACTCCAAGTTTTTGCTACATATGTAAAGTACAGTACATAACGTATTGGTAATGTATGTACATACGTAAACACATACGCACGTTTATTGGTCACATTTTTTACAGGCTAATGATATAAACTATAAATGTTCTACGAATTTATGCAACTTATGGCACAATATGACTAATAAATAATGCACCCCGTTCAATAAAAGATGAAGCGCATTGATGATCGATTTCTCGTTGAATATTTTATTCAAAAAAAAATATATTTGATCTTTTTTCAGAGATGATCACGATTACACTTGTCCAATCGGTATCAATCTTATATCACGAGGATAAATTCTATTAAAAATTTCAAAGGTTTGAATGTTCTCCTTCATTTTTACGTAAATCAGTAAACTCATACATATTTTTTGTTAAAGATTACGAGTTAATATTAAATTTATATTTTTGGATCTTTCTGATTTTGGTTATCAAAATATCTAATATTTAACGTTTAAAATGAATGAAACTTGATTGGTTCTAATAATTTCATTAGTGGAGTGATGTGAAATGATGTGGAGTGATGTGTGAATAAAAATATCCGAAAAAAAATGGAATGAGAAAATCTTTACCAAACTTTTATATTAATAGTCTGCAAGTTTCTTGAAATCATCTTGAAAATTCCAAAAATAAAAAAGAACTTGGAATTTATTATAAACGCCTTTTTTCCAAAATTTTGAAAAATTTATTAATGTTATCTAGAGACCATTTAATAAAGCTAAAAGTATACGTATGTGTTGAGTGTTGAATTCGTTTTCTAGAACATATGTACAGTACCTTAAGTAAAAATTATCGAAATTATATATTTATTATTGACATTTCCTAAATAGACCTCGGAGATCTTCATCCGGGATCATTCCGATGATTATTTCGGTTTGGAAAATCCTTGGCAAAAATGCGCTGATGCATACATTCATGTATACATTCATATATATATACATTCATGTATACATTCATATATACATTCATGTATATATACATTCATGTATACATTCATGTATTCATGTACAGTATCTTTATATCATCCTTAATAAGGGTTCAATATAGTATCACATATAATTGGTACAACATTCTCTATCTTTTTTATCATAAATTGACATCTTTTTTGACAGATAAAATTTACTTTGCTAATCCTTTTTTTTGACGTCTTTTTATAGTATAAACACAAAAGGTTTATCCCGAATTAATGAATCATCATATGATCTTTAAAAATCTTGCACAGTAAATTTTGTAAAACTTTGATACATATGGAATGACCTACTTGATTATTTAATCTTTTTTTTGTTACATAAACTTAATAATTTTGTCAAACAAATAAACAAATTTTTTCTTTTTTTTTTTTTAAAAAAAAAAAAAAAAAAATTAAATATCGATATAAAATTACACATAAAACGAAGTACAATATATTACCCCATCCATACTGACTTTTAAATATATCTATTTTTGTAAAGTCCGTGCTCTTATAAAAATAAAAAAAACCTTAAACACTGTTTGTTAAGAAATGCCAAGTCTTAGATACACGAAATTATATATTCTCTTTTTTTCAATCATCGTACATTTAATAAAAGATATTTTTAGGTAATTTCTCCCCTTGTATCACGGAAACAGGTGTGACGACGTAGTTCTTCACGAATCATAAAAGAAAAAAAAAACTCTATCAGATCACAGTAAATAAACAGATCAAAAGTTACGAATTTGGTTGCTTTGTCAAAATCTTAAAATTAAAATCGATCATTTCAATTCTGGCCAGGGTTATTACTACGTATGGTCAATTTGTCATAGCTTTGGGGAAATGTGGCGCATTTTAACTTTTAACTATATAAGCAAAAACAAATAATTTTTTTTTCCTCTTTCTTTTTTCAGTACGTGGAGATGTCACGAGTAAAAGTCGGGTCGGTATTACAAAACAAATACTTACACTCACTTTTTAACTTTTTCCTCGTGACACACAGGTGGAACTTTCTCAGATCAAACTTATTGTAGATCTCCATCTCTCCATCTAAACGTCACTTAAGTTATATATCACCCCCTGTCTCCATGTGAATCAGCAAGGTGTAATATTAATCAGCTTTGTGATACTATGCGATATATAATTCATATGACATTTAGTCAAACATTCAGATAAACATTTATTTAGGTACGCACATTCGTACAACCTTGCGATGTCATTATCCATACAACCATGTATTATTAACAATAATTGACATGCGCATCAATAAGTAATTAATTTCTTGAAAACACTAGGATTTGTTTTTTTAACAATATGTATTATGTGTATTATATGTATTATATGTATATACTGTATAAGAATTTTTTTTAAAATTTAAAACTTATGCGATGCAAAAGCAGTGTCAATGCTCTCAATCCCCAGTGCTAGTTAATGTGCATGCATAAAAAATGAGTACACGTGTAAGCTAGAACCTATCCTAAAATTAATAACTATATATTCTAGAAATTCAAAATGTTTAATACGTAATCCCATACAACTGCTACAACAACTGTTACAACTGTTACAACAGCTGTTACAACAACTGTTACAACAATTATTACACCATTTTTCATCCGACCCAGTCGAATGAAATCATTTCATATAAATTTACTACATTCAAACCAGAAATGTTTATGATCTAAATACATATCAGTCGTATGATTGTTGACTAATACTGTATATCATTAAAGGAATGCATTAAGCTGATTTTAATACGTAGTGTAAAAATACATCCAATCATCCTTAAAATAATTTTCATTTATTGTTTACTTAATTTTTTTTTTCATCGGCAACAATTTTCGTATTCATCTTCCCCCGTGTTCACACTCTTGTCACATTCTTCTGCTTGTGGCAGATGTGTCCATAATAATACTGTATTTCCTAAAAATATATCCATTAAAAAATTATTATGATCATTGATATTTTAAATATTTTAAAATAAATCTTTAATATGTATACGTAAATAGTACCATTAAAGTCCAGTCGTTCTTCACTTGTGACTTCCTCTGTATGAAACATCCAGAGGTGTCCATTATTACAAGCATCCATGCATTGTTGACATGGTTGAGTGATATGATATCCAAGAACATTTCCACTATAAATAAATTCCATTTTTATTTTTATTGTTATTCTTATTAGAATTTTATTTTTGAAAAAAAATAAAACCTCTAATCTTAAATAATAACTACCAAGTCAGGCATGCCACATCTCGAATTTTACAATGACAATTTTGTGTTAGATAATCTTCACCAACCAATTGTACCCTATTCAAAAAGATCATAGATCATAGATTAAATATTTTTTTTGAATTAACTATCAATTATATGAATTACATGAATTACATGAATTTAACGCATACATACGATAATGGTGGTACATCTGTAGAATAAAGCTCGACTCTCGTGTCAGCAAGAAGCATAGCCTAAATAATTGTCAGATCTCTATCACCCAAATATCTAAATATTCTCTGTAAATTATCCACCCTTTCTATCTTTAATTTACCGCTACTCATACTCACTGACTGTATTCAGCACTCAACAGCTATTCACACGATCGCTTACCTTCATCCCCCTCAAGCACACTCTTGACTCACAATAAGTACAATTTAATTTACAAACTGCTTTGCTTCGGGAACGTATATTTTGATCATCGTCTTGCACCCGTGAATTCGTTGTGGAAGACGTGTTTCTTTGCGTTGTTGTAGAGATTGTCGAAGAAATGTTATCGTTAGAATCTTGACTGCCGCTATTATCGTTACTATTCACTCCAGCTTGTACCATTCGATTAAATATCAAATTTCGTTCTCTGTAGTTCCTTTGTCTGAGATGTAGTCTTCGTACCCACCGGGTAGATGACGAGGAGATTGTTGTGGAAATTGGTGAAGGGAGTGCGGCAGTCGCTGCTAAAGTGAAAATAGGTGACGGCGCCAGGGCTGAAGAAACTATTGGTGCCAGCTTGTTTGTTAAACTGGTTCTATTGAAAGTAAAGTATTATTTCCCTTAGTTCTTGTATTTTTATAACTCAACCTTGTGCATTTTACAGACGTTAAAAAAAAAAAATAATAAAATTTTTTTTAAAAAATCAATAAAAATCATTATAATCATCCTTCCGCAGTTTCGCGTAACCGAACATCTATAATCGGTTAGATCCTGATATCATCTTTTCATAGCGATAGCATATATCGTAACTTTAAAACACGCGTTAGAGAAACTATCTTATCACATGATATTAGCACCCGCCTAGATGATTTAATTAAATTATTTATGATTTCGTTTAATTAACGAATGATGTTAATAGCGATAGTAAGTATTTCGTAATTTCATAATCATGAGATCATTAATTCTGTAATGCCGTAATACCCGTAATTGTTTAAATCATCCCACTTTTTAATCTTGTGATCTTTCGCAATTTTTTTTTTATAAAATGTGCCTACTTCAGACCTCTATTTTCTCACAAAAATACTCAAGTTTACATTTCTAAATACTTTAAACTTAACACTAATTTTTTATTAAAAATGGATATTGACGATACGGTACTAGTATATTTATTAATGTTTAATAATGTTTAATAATAATTACTTAATAAGTCGTATGTATTTTTGACATATTTATTTTTGTATATCTTCAAAGATTGCTCCCGAAGAAATTCATTCTTCAGTTGATGAAGCTCGTAAGGCTGAAGAAAAGGCACGAGAAGAACGTCTTAAAGAAGAAAAAAAAAATAAACAACATGCTCAAGAAGAAGCTAAAATTGTAGAACAAGCCGTAAATGAAAAGAAAAATCAAGTGCTTACACAAAGATAATTCTATTATTATTGTATTTTATAAATGAATAACAGTTAATAGTGAAATTTGAACATGTTATTTTTTTTATTTTATAAAATTTAAATTTGAAAAGTTGTATAAGTTGTTATTGTATTATTATTATTGTAGATAAATAGTTGAACGATTTGTGTTTTTTTTAAATATATATTATTTTTTTATTTATTATTTTTTATTAAATTATTTAAATTTTGATTTTTATTAAAAAAAAATCATAATTTATATATAGGTTAGGTATTGAAAAATGAATCAAATTGACAATTTTTTTAAAATGAATTTTTTAAGTTTAACTAATTTAAATTAATTTAAAAATTTAAAAATATTTATTATTTAAAAAAGAAATCTTGTTGCATTAATAAAAATTTTAGTATAATTTTATAATATAAATTTTATAATATAAAAATTTACAATATAATTTTATAATATAAATTTTATAATATAAAAATTATATTTTGTAAAATATATTTTTGGTTAATTGGTTTTTTTTATTAGCATTTAGTTTATATTGTTTAAATTTACATTATATAATTATATTAAAAATAAATAAATATATAAATATATAAATAATTATATTTATAATTTTTTTAAATAGTTTTGTTTTTATTTATTAGATTTAATAGTTATATTAATAAAATTTTAATAATTATATTAATAAAATTTTAATAGTTTTATTAAATAATTAATAATTTTATATTATATATAAAAAAGATATTATATATTTTTTGCATATTAATAAAATTATAATTAGTTATATATATAATTTTAATTTTATTTATTTAAAGATTTTGCTTAAAGTTATGTTAATAATTATATTTATAAATTTTTTATTTTAAATTTCTTGATTTTTTTTTAAATAGTTTTTTTAATTACTTTATTAAAATTTTTATATAAAAGAATAGTAATTCTAGTTTAGTAGTTGAAGATTCAAAGTTTAAATTTCATTAGCAGCAGAATTTTGAAAAATAATTCTAATTTGACAACTTAGAAGAAGCATTTGATATTGTAAATTTGTAATTCTAATTGTATTAAAACTAATTTTAAAAGTATATATATAATGTTATATAAGATGTACTTAGTTAAAAAAATTTATTTTTAAATAAATATATATTCAATAAACAGATTGACTATAAATCACAAGAGCATATGACATAATAATAAAATTAGTTAAATGCAAAAAACTAAAAACATTAGAAAAATCTAAAAATAGAATTTAAAAATTCTTAAATTTTAAAGATTTAATAAAATATTCTAAAAATATAAATTTTTATAAAAAGTTAAAATACTAATATAAAATTAAACTTTTTTTTAATAAAAAAATTTTTTTTACTAACTTTAAACTTTAATCTACTAATAATGAGTTTTTTTTTTAAATTCAAATTGTTAATATAATTAAAATAAATATTGCTTATTATAAAAATATTGTAAATAGATTTTTATAAATATAACAAATTAATTGACTAATTATAACAGTTATACACAAATTAGAAGTATATGACAGTTTATTAAAAGTAATTAAAAACATTTTAGATTTGTTCAAAAACTGCTAACAAGAGGTTTTTTTAAATACAAGTAAATTTAGTTCAAATAATATTATTATTTTTAATTTTTAGTGAATTAAGTCTGTTGACTAAGTTTTAAATTTAGATAGACTATATTTAAAAACTACTAAAAACAAAAAAATTTTTAAATTTTATTAAATTAGTTTAAAAGCTTTAATATTAGTATAAATGATTTTTACAAATGTAACAAACTAATTAGTTAGTTATTACAGTTATATACAAGTTAAAGTGCATAGTAAATTAGTAAATATTTTTTTTTAATTTATATAAATTTGGCCTAAAAACTACTTACAAAATGCATTTTTAAAATTCAAACAAATATTTTTAATTTTAATGCTAACTAAAGTTTTTATATTTAAATAAATAATATTTAAAACCTATTAATAATAAAGTGTTTTTTTAAATTCTGTAAATTAGTTCAAATGTTATTATTTGTTATAAAAATAAATATTAATAAATGTTTTTTATAAATATAATAAATTAATTAGTTAATTATAATAGCTATTTGCAAGTTAAAGATATATGCCAAATTAGTAAAATAATTATCTTTTAGTTTATATAAATTTAATTTAAAGCTATTTACAAATTACTTTTTTTAAAAAATCTAAATAAATTTGGTTTGAATACTATTATTGTTTCTAATTTTTAGTAATAACTAAAGTTCTTTATATTAAAATAAATTGTAATCAAATTATTTATAACAAACATTTTATATTTTGAATTGATTTAAATATTTTTAATATTTTTTATTAGAGTAAATGTTTTTTTTTTTATATATATTAAGGCTGATATTAATAATAACTAATATTTTTATTTATGTTTTTAGTTAATATATTATATATTATTTGTACAGGATAAATATGCAACTAATCATATGTGTAACTTTTGTTTACTTATTTAAATAGTCTGTTTGAGAGTTTTACACTAGCTGTCATATCTATAATCTACTAGAAGACTATCTAATTAAACACTCTGGTTCCTATACTGTATCCAAACAATTAGCTATCTCAGTTTCTGTACATCTAAGTGCTATCTAACCCAACATTTTGTCTTATTTCTGTATATCTGTCAAGCTGTTACCTAATTTCAAAGCATGTTATCTAACTGTAAAGCTTAGAAAACCTCTTGTTAACTACCTACTTATAGTGTTCTTAACCTTAAATCTACATTCATGTAACTTTGTTCACTTTTTTTGCAGATCACTTTTGTTAGATGATATTATCTAAACCAATCACAACCTGCCACAAAATATCTTAATACATATAAATTTTAAATTTTAAATATAATATTTATTGTAATAATATCAAGTATTAATAAATATTAAATATGATTTTGTTTTACTTTAAGTATGTTTTTAAGACTTTATTTTTTTTTTTTATGAAAAAAAAACAAATATAAAACCAGTATTTAATCATTAGCTCAAATTTATCAATTTGATTTGAACTGTTTTACAGCTCTTTTAGCATTCTTCCTTTCTAAGCCATTTGTATAGGCTTTAATATATCTCTAAGCCTTACAATTAAATTGTCTAATTATTGATAAAGGTATGTTGTCAAGTATTCTTGATACACGAATTTGTAATTGTGCATATGAATAATCTTATTGGTAACAAGCAGTTTGTTTTGCAGCACTCTAGTAATGTTCAATAAAATTGCACTCGTAATAGAATTTCGAATATAATTCAAAAATGTAACCAGCTGCCTCAACAGATTCTGCAATTGAAGTTTTTTGCTCCAAAAAATCTGCTTGCATCATAAGTATGTGCCTTGTACAACAATCTGAAACTAATAAAAAAAAACATATATAAATATATATAAATAAAATGCATTAAATATAATTATAATAAGAATGCTTTTATTAAACATACCTTTACTTTCTTTTTGATTGCAATTTAGCTTCTGATCACTTCACAGACTACATTCTTCTAAAATCTGATATGATAAAAAAAAAGAAATCAGTGTTGCACTTTTTTAAATACTTCACAAACCACATTTTCTAAAATCTAAAAAAAATAAAATTAGCATCATGGTTTTTTTAAAAACAATAGTTTACATATATCTTTTTAATTCTTTTAAATTTTTTAACACCTTTATCTAAAAAAAACATAGGTTGTATAACTTTTCTATGATTACAGATAAATCATTCATTCTTAAAATTGTAATTTTTTTTTACTTTCAGATGAAGCATCATTCTAGAACATACAAGTGCATCTAGTGTATAAGCATTATGATTCATACTTTGATTGAAACAAAATACATCTTAAAAAAAAAATTAAAACTTAGAATAAATTAGTAAATAAAAAAAACTAATAAAATACAATTAAATCATGCCTATGCATCTGAGATGAAGAAAATTAAAAATTGGAATAGCTTTTTCAACAAGTTGCTAAACTATATTTTTACTTTTTCAGTATCATTTCTTGTACTGTCTGGCTTGATAATAATATGTGCATATTGCTCAAATCCAAGTCATATAGAATCTTTCTTTGTAAGTTATAAAGGACCATGACATGAATATAAGAATTACTAACCATGATAAAACTACTCTGATCTTTTTTTTAATCACAGATTTGCTATCTCCAAGCCAAACATATAATATATTATTATTTGCATAAAAATAAACTTTATTATGAGTAACTATAACATGACACAAATCCCAAATCTCAAGCTGTTCCAGTAGAATAACAATTTCTATCTCATCTTTACAATATTGGTCTATTTTTTTCAATAGTTTATCATCCTAGATGCCCAACTTTTGTGATATTCTTGCACATCTTCTCTTTTATACCTATTAAAATATATCTACAAAAAAGTTATAGTATTGTTATAAGAAAAAGAAAAAAAAAAAAATTAAATAAAAAATTAAATAAATACTTGTTGTCCTATAGCTCTCTTATGAAAGCCTCACAAATGCATAAATTTTCATGTAGTTATTTCAGAAATAGTAACAGGAACTTCAAGCAACTTAGGAAAAATTGTTGCTTTTAATTTTTTCTTTAATAACAAAAGAAAACAATCTTTTGGAAAAACAGAATGTAATCAAGTATGAGCTACTAAACTAATATCCTTATCATTAAATAATGATAATCTTTTCAAATGCTTTTCTTGTTGATAACTTGACAAAAAACCTTGAACAAGAAAATCCTTTGCCTATCTTCTAACACAATATAACATATAATCTATATTTCAAACATCTTTTTAAAAAATATTTGCAACTTTGTTCAAAGCTTTCATTTTTTTTTCACTATCTAATAACAATCTAAAATACTGACAAACAGATGCAAGCCTTTGCACTTTGTAAGGTTGTAACCTTGCCATTTCTTTTTTGCATTTTGAAGATTATGAAGTTTATGTTTTAATTCATTATAACAGTTTTCAATTAATTGTTGAGACTGAATAATAGTATCTTTATATTCTTTGTGTT